TTTCAGCTCATGTTTTGCTTTTTTAGCCCACAACTTACTGTTTTTATTCAGGCCCATTGCCTTAATGAGCATAATCTTTGGCCAAAGCAGGCAGGTTTTTTTCAGTGAAAAAAACTCTCTACCTGTGCAGCACCAAACAACAGACAGACAAAGTAAGCAACTAACTAATAAACATTATGTAACATTTAGTTGGTACAGGGCCAGGCAATCCTCCCAGGACTCTTTTACAGACCAAAAACAGATAAATACTGCAAATTTTAGACTTACATTCATGAGGCAGTCAGAGACATGACTCCAAAGACTGCTAATGCTACTGAAAGTGTAAATAAGAGACCGATAATTATAGACTTTTTTGCATTGTATACTCTACAAGTAGTTGTCAAATACAGAGTTGGGAAAATATTAGCTTTCGGGAAAATCCAATCCTATGTGATTTGATGTGAATTTGGGAATATTCACAGCGGACCCTGGGTTTAATAATGACAGAAAGAGAATAGTTTTTGATGTCAGTGTATAACACAAACAACTAATCATTCAATACAAAATAAAAACAGTGGGGCATTTCCCTTGTATGACATAAAGGCCTTTTCCACCCTAGGAATCTATCAACCTCTAAAAGAACATTTACCCCTTGTCCCAGGCTCTGCTTTTGTTTTCACTCCCCTCTGTCTGGTTTGAAGACGGGTTTCCAGAGCCAAATTTCAGCACCCCTCAGGAGGTAGAACTAAATCATTTTCCAGGGTAGAGTGGGTTCTCACAGGGCTGTTGCCTGTGATTGGTTAAATGCCAGCATCCTCATGTCTCAAGTATTAGCATTACATGCATGGTGTGTAAACACATACTCATGCTGGTAAAATGAGGACTTCGCTCCTACTGGAGGTAAAATGGGGACCTCAGCAAGGTGACTGTGGGCAAAGCGACAAAGACATCACAGTCCTTCATGTTTGTGTTCTGCTTGTTCAACAGCTGTTTGATAAACTGCTCATACAGTCTCTATTACTGGTAGATTTTGTTGCACGTATGATTAATGAGCATGGGATCAGTGACTCCATGCTCTCTGCTCAGCTGTGTGTGTGAGGAGCATAGCCCCATCCTCTGGTAAATGGTGACAGACACAGGAAAAAGATGCAGTGGAAAAGCAATGCGAGACAGACCACTTGAGCCCTTCAAGTTCTGTCAGATTACAGGCATGAGAAGCTCCAGGTTATGGCTTGTTACAAAAAAATTAATAGAGACTAATAGATTTAATCATGTTTTGTTTGCTATGGTTACAACAAAACTTTACATGTAATTTGTCAATTAATGTGTTCATCTTTAAAAAAAAAAGTATAAAAACAATAGAAATCTTCTTTAACCCTTAGCTACATGCATGCAGGGATATTGTGAAAGGAAGCTTCTCAGTCTTCTGGCAGAAATTTGAAAGACAAATCCCTTCATGAGCCTACCCCTCAGGGTACGTCTATGCTCCCCTCCGTGTCTAATAAGGGTCACACTTTTTTTTTCTTTCCACATAAATGTACACATACTGTGCAAATATGTCAGGCAGAATTATTAATTAATTTCCAGAAATGATGAAGCTGAAACATCATGTTCAATTTGATGGGCCTTATATCATTAGTATGCAATTGCCTTAATTGGAATCCAGTGACAGTGTGCTCTTACATTACATATATCATTGATATGACAATGCTTTCAGAAAACCTTAATCAAACCACAATGTAAAGTGAAGGACAAGCATGACAAATGCATACTCTGAGGACTCAATATTTAATGGCTAAAGTAAAATTCAGTGACAAGAAAAATCATTTCACCATATGGAAGGTAATTTTTTTTTCATAGATTTAAAATGGGATACTTTACAAAGGCATGACAACACAGACTGTATACTGTAGCTTTAACTGATCAATACAGATTCGCTGGCAAGCACTGAAGCCTTCTTTCAATGCGGACATGACCTACTCACTGATGACAAATTTACAAGCATATACTTAAGTCTTATATTTTGTTATAGTTTTTGTACAAGTTACATTTGTGTACATAAAATATTCTGGCAAGGTGCATGCCAGTATGCACATATGTGCACACACGCACACACTCATGCATGCAAGGAGACACACATTCTCCCTCACACACATACAAGATCACCTATAAACACATTCAAACACACACTCATTAATATTATGCATATGTATCCATTTACATTAGAACAGAGATTGTCATCTCATCACTTCTTATGTTTTCCCATTTTCCTTTTTGTCAACATAAGGAATTCCAGTATAGCCTGTAGCCTGTCTTTCCAGTTTGGAACCATTACTAGTTCTTAGGGGTACTGCTATGTACAGTTTAAAATCCACTTTAGCTGACAGTATAGATATTTGTGTGTACGTAGAGGCATAAGTGGTATGCACACTTCACAAAGTTTGAATGTGTACACTGTGTAATATTTGTTTTGCTCCATAAGACAGACAAACAGGTAGAGCAGTAAACATCAATACTGACACTGAATCTAATGATAGATAAGTGAACTACAGTACATAGCCAAATGTCAAAATGCCTTGTGGAAGTCCAAAGAGTTCATGCAAATTATGACGCAGGTTGACCTGGTAACTCACATTTTGGACAGAAAAATTCTGAAAATAAAAATCACTGCTCAGCTTTATGTATAGTGTCTTTACTGTTTCGACCAACAGGGCAGAGGGAATTAGAAAATGAGAAGAACAGTGAGAGCAGAATCATGCAAAGTGATAACCTGTGATCTTGACTGATCTCTTAACATCGTGTTTTTCACTCTTATTTGTGAACAAATTTACTCAGTCCCAAAAAAGAAATCCACATATGCAGTTATGCTCACTTGAAAGATAAATGGAATACCTTAACCTTTAAAAGGGCTTATGGTAAAAGAAAATGGGAGTGCAGTAGACAAAAACTCATGTTAGTACCAAAAGCAACATCCTACAGATGTACATTCATGTAGCTATTACACCATCATTCCCTCTAGAAATTGTCTTTCAATTAATGTAGCTGCTGCAAACTTACGGTATATATGGGTTATGGCTGTTCAAGTAAAAACACAGTGAGGGTTACAGATAGATAATATTGTGCTTCCTGTGCACGTGAATGAATAAATGATTTCAAACAGTCTCATTTTAATTATAATGTGACTGTGTATTATTCCTTAGTTATTTCATGGATTTTCTCTCCCTCTGTAATGTGAGGAAGGGCTCGATTTCCTGTGTCATATTTAGAAGCGCTCCAACAGTAGATAATGTCCGCACTTCTTCTTGTTAATGAATTGGAAAGTTTCTTAAGAACCCAATTATTTTTCTGATTTATTTTTGTTGGAAAGATGCAATCAGGAATTTATTTGCCCTACTTGTTCACATTGTACACTGAAACTAAAAAGGCTTGTGAGGATTTTGAGGCAACATTTGATAACATATCACACATTTGGATTTGCATTTGTCACAGCGATAAAATTCCAATTTTCAGTGCCATCATGATGTATGTTCCCTTTACTATGTGCTCCTTTTGATTAAATATGTACTGTTTATACCACTTGGCGATACGTCTGTCCTATAACAATGCAATGAGATGAAATGTGACAGAGAAAAAAGAATCTGAACATTGGTAAATTAGCTGGAATTGGATTCCACAAACAGCTAATGTTTCTAAGAGGATATATTTCAGTTTGGTTGTTAGGAATTAAATCCATTTTTGTAATTGACTAAGGTGAAATTGAATTGCCCTTCCCTGTGTCCTTGACACACTATTCTTTTAAGTGATCATTTCACCAAGTCTCGGATAAATCCATTTTACACTGATAAGTGTCCCGACCCTAAGTATCAAGAAAGAATAGGTGCTGTAGCTAAGAGCATGCAAACACAATTTGCCTTGCACATTCCCTTGAGAATGCCACGTTGCACTATAGATTTAGGCCTGTTCCCAATTTGCAAGATGGTACAAGAAAATGAACCGCATGATTCATATACCTTATGATGTAGACACCTGGCTTGGATGTTACAGGAAAGAAAAATTGATATCAGCAAAGTCACTTATTGCTGTAGCAATAGATTATACTGCACCAAATCTGTTACAGCAGCAAGATAGTCTGAAGTAGTTATCATGATCAGTACAATTTACATACACAGGCGATGATGCAGTGTGTGGATGGTGAGGGGCAGCCTGTAGGGAGGTCCTTTCAAATAGTGCCAATGCCTATTCCTATGATAACTGAAAGAATCGCATTGACATCAATAATTCAGTTAGACTCAGGGCCATAAAGAAATTCATGCACCCTGGTCTATTATTCCAGTGTCAACACATAAAATATAACTAATAATAGAAACTTTGCAGCCAAACTGAGCTGTATGAAAAATGCAAAATAATAATTAGCATCCAGGACTTAGCTCTTATTAATGATATGGTGAGAAGGGAGAGAGTGTGTAAAGCAGCTATTTTTGAGCACTTGTCACCTTTTCATTACCTCTGCACTTGTAGAGCATATTTCTGGCTTGCCAAGAGAACAATTCCAGTCCTCTAAACCACGAGAAGTCACTACTGAGTTCACACATCAAATTAATTTAACCGAGAATTTCATAACGGGCATCATTGCTGTTACTCTGTGAATGTTTCCTCCTCAGCAAAAGTTATAAAAACAAAAACAAAAGCACAACTGTCATCACTTTTTAAGGCTAAGCTACTGAGATAATGATAGGAGTGAAGATTTTCTTAATAGCGTTGACGGAGATGGAGCAACCACTATATGGAAAACACCGTAGCTGTGTGTATATGCAGGGGGTTATGTTTTTTTTTTTTGTTGTTGTTTTTTTTTTTTTTGTTGTTGTTTTTTTTTTTTTTGTTGTTGTTTTTTTTTTTTTTGTTGTTGTTTTTTTTTTTTTTGTTGTTGTTTTTTTTTTTTTTGTTGTTGTTTTTTTTTTTTTTGTTGTTGTTTTTTTTTTTTTTGTTGTTGTTTTTTTTTTTTTTGTTGTTGTTTTTTTTTTTTTTGTTGTTGTTTTTTTTTTTTTTGTTATATTTTGTGTACTTGTCCACAGTGAAAATGTAGAATGCAAAAGACTACCGGCGCTGTCTACCATTGGCCTAGTTATGCTTTGTAGACTTTTTTTTTTTATCCTTCTGCAGTCCCCTGACCAAAATAGACTTCAGAAACACATTCAGGCAAGACAAAAGGAACATCTTCCACCACCAAAGGAGTTTGTGCTGCATGTTATACAGAGCAATACTTCACTAGAACTTGAACAGAATCAGCATCTACCCAGAGCTCATAACTAACATTTAGCCTCATTTAGCTCACTCAACACAAAGTACTGTTTTTGCATTTGTTTCTGCATGAGGAAATAGTCTTTTAAAATGCCGTTTCCCCAAGCTGGGCCCAGCGTAAAGCTGGTACACTGCCTTTTGTATCACTAAGCAAACATCACCAAACTGAAAGCAATAATAATTATTATTTTGTTTCTGTGATGGAACTACTTTGGCATATAACTACCCTTTAATGTACATGGATCTGCTATGTTAAGACTTGCATTTTGTTTCAAATGCTTAAGCTGTCAGACTAATTCCATATGATTTTGTCTGAACATCACAATCATGATTGAATTCTCAGATGTCTTCATTAGTAAAACTGACCTGGAGCTGGTCAGAATTATTCAAATTATGAATACCTCCACACGTACGCATCCATACTAATCATAAACTCACTGACAAAAAGTTGTCTGTGGATGGAGTCACATGTTTGTCAGGTCAGTGAAGATCTGTCTTTTACTCTTACAACTGGTGCTCGTGTAAGAAAGAGCTGCTGCCCCCGCCAGTGGGCATCTGCTGCCCGGGAGAAGAGAAGCTCTCCAGCGGGATAACTTTGACCGGGTCCTCCTTCTTACTACTGCAGTGTCTGTCCAGGGTGTTGTAGAACTGTGGCCGGTTGATCCCTTTGTCCAGTTCATCTTTTTTGGGCACAGACCTGCTCAGGGTATGGCGGCCATCCATGACCCCCAGGCTGCCCATGTTAGCTTTGGCTCCCTGGGCACAGCTCTGCTGAAAGCCAAAAGAGGGGAGGGTACCAATGATGGCAGTGGTGGTCGGGGTGGAGGTGGGGCTGTTGCTGCCAGGACCCTGGAACTGGGCCAGGGCTGGGGGCATCCAGCAGCTGTCGGAGTGGCCCAGTATCAGACACTCCTGGGTACAGGTCTCAGAGGCCTCGGCCAAGGCTTTCTGCAGGTTCACCTCAATGGCTGCAAAAATGAGAGGAGGAGAAAAAGAAAACAACACTATTAATTCAACAGGTCAGAACATGCAGAGAGTGCAGCTAGAATGCACTGAAATGTTACTGAGCACTGAATGAACTCATGAATCATAATGTAAACAGACGAAAGTTGCATTATCAGTAGTTGACCCACAAAATGTCAGCCTTTTAGTGAAATGAAAGTCAGTGACAAATGTTTCATTTCATCTTGTAATAAGAAAAACACCAGCAGACCATTTAATTTTCAGTGGTATTCCCACAACTCTGTCTGTTTACCTACAGTATGCAATGAATTCCCTGTAGCTTAATTAGAGATTGAAAAAACGTCTTGCTGTTTGTGTCATGGATTGGCTTTACAGTATTAAATATTTAATGAACAGCTTAACAAAACATTGTTTATTTTAATCACTGTCAGTGTGGCACATCTTAAACCGTTTTTGATCTTTCAGAATCCAAAAATAAATCTGGTCAAATAGTGAAACTCAAAAAAGAGAAAAACGAAATCACATTATCCCAGGGTGCTGTGAGAGCCAGTGTGTTCAGGTATAATTAACATACACGGTTAATTGTGGCAGCATTTAGGTTTCATGCATGGAAGGGAAGAAGAAAGTAAAAATTGAATGAGAAGGCGACTGGGCAAGGCTAGGCACTCAGACTATCTTATCTCATTATCCTGGCACTGACATCACATGTGGAATGAGTCTGGGATGAGGCCTCGGCATTGAGCCTTGGCAATAAAGCCTGTCAAGCTAGATAATTAGAATGTAAAACAGTATGCACCAAGGCATCCAGAAGCTCAGAGTGTTATGTTTCCTAGGCCACACAAAGGAAAGAAGGGTCCTCATCCAAACATCACAGCACTCCTCTAAGCCTCAGCTGCAAGCTGTCATGTAGAAATTATTTAGAATATTTGCATAAGTAAGAATGCTATAAATAATTAATTGGTCTTAGACTCTAGTACACTGGGACAACTGTTTCCTTCACACACACAAGTTCTGCATGCTCTCTGTAATTCTATTCCACAGACAGTGGCAAATTGTCTTCCTATGTTGTTTATTGTTTAATGGCATTCTCCAAAATGAATTACTCAGCATTAGTGATATAAGCCCGACCTCCCAAAAGGATCTAGATTGGTGCATAACAGCCCAGTACCCTCACTTTTTTGAATTTCTGTGCCATCACTGATTGAATAGCATAATGTCAACTTTAATTATGAGAGCAGTGTCTGAAAATGAATCGCCTGGTATAAATTGTGAGGATATATTTGGAGTGCCCACATGGAGTCAAATCTGTCCTCTCCATATTGAACTGGAGCCTTGGAGCAGGAGTGTATAAATCCCCTGGGTGGTAAATGTGTCACCTTTCAGAGGGTCACTAACTTCATTAAGGCAAAAATGCTTTCCAATTCTCTGAGCTAGCACAATAGGGCCATCCCAAGTCTCGGCCGTGCCCTGACTCAATCTCTCTCCGAGTGTTTTCTGCTGTTGGTGATGCCTTTTCATTGTGTCACCGTTTTTGATGAGGTAATGCTATTAGCATAAACCTCTTATTCCCCAAGCACGCACCCAGACACACAAATAAATGCTTCTAGGTCCAAACACACACATTGTCAAAATTGCATCTTTGCCAGATTTCCTCTTCCCTCCTCCTCAATTTTAAATTATCAGCACAGCCAAAGCTGAAGCTGTCTTTAACGCAGCGTACTATACAAATGCAAGGTAGTTTGCAGCTCCGTGACTTCACACAGTTTGAACTCTCAGCAGTTCTGTGTCAACAGCCTTCATTGCCTCCAAATTTTGTATGCAATATTTCACATCCAGCCTCTCAAAAAGACATGGGCCGGTACTATTTTCTATTCCAATGGGATAGTTGGTGATGGCGGGTTTGGGAGGGTGGGAGCACGGCGTGAGTGATGTCGCTGACAGCTCTGGGTGCTTTCGTCAGCTAGAGGTACGCAGCAGCCTGCTTGTGATACCTCTGTCTTTTGTATTCAGGGGAAACAACCGTACCCCGCGGAGCTTTCGAGAGGAATCACACATCACTGACGCCATAGATCCCCTGATGCTGTGAACATTCTTTTCTACATTCCCTTCAAGGAAATTTGAATGGCAGACAAATGGGGATAATGGCAAACAATGGGAGTAATAGGCAACACGATTGAGATCAAACCTACTGTTCTCATTTGAGATGATTCAAATTCACTGAGCACTGGTGATGTGGTTTGTACCTGTTTAGTTAATCTGTAAATTTACTGAAAATCCAATACAAATTCTGCTCCAGTGGCCCTGAGTAACAGACGACTGTGAAATTTAAGTGGTATTCAAGACATGTTCAGGTTCAAAACAGCCTGCAGGCTAATTTGACAGCTTTGTCATAAGGAAATCTATTATGTGTGGTCATGCTGTGTATTTCTGGCCACCCCACTATGCCACAGTTCTGGGTTTCTAGTCGGTTTTACAGTCTTACACAAGGTCAATATCAGTGGTAGCCTACAGTAGTGTTGTTCTGCAACATCAACACATCCTTTGGCCAGCCACAGATCGAACACTGTTGTATCCACCTTCAGCTGACCTTCCTTTCATGTGGCCAAACATTACGGCTTGTATAAACACTGAACATGAACATTATAAGACAGAGGTATTACAAAACTAAACAGCCTGCAAAGAACTCCCAAAGATTTTTTTTTTCAATTTAATGAAAATACTAGGAAAATTACAACTTGCACTTCAGCTGGACGTTGGTGGGGGTAGGTGAGGTGCAAACACTTTTCTGTAATGTCATGTTTTAATTTAGAAAGGGGGTGAACATAACTTCAGTGCCTGCAATAATTTGCAATTCAGTTCACTTCAATAGACCTAAAACACGTTTTTGAGTCACAGCAGTGGTGGAAGAAGTACTCAGATTGTAGCACTGCGTACTTAAGTAGATCCGGCAGTACCAAAAGTAAAAATACTCACTATGCAGAATGGCACAGTTCACATTATTTTAGCTATATCAGATTATTGGATTATAATTATTGATGCATTATTGTTTACATCACATTTAATGTTACAGCTGGTAGAGCTAATGCTAATTACCTTATATGCTTATACTTTGAAGTACTTTACATACTGCTGGGTATAAATAAAGTCTCATGATTTTATTTTGTTAAATTAATCTCAGTCTGAAAAGTAACTAGTAACTAAAGCTATCAAACAATTGTACTTGAGTAAATGTACTTCTTGTTACTTTCCACCTCTGAGACATAGTGTATATATTTAATAACTTTTTTTGTTTAGAAACTAAAGTATTTTTTGGATTTTAATATATGTTGTTGTAAACAGGGAGAAAGTAACATGAGCACCGGTAAACATCTTTCAGTTTAATGCAGTTCAGTACAGCAAAGACTTGAGACTTAAAAGATGAATAAAAACCTTTTAAACAAAACTTAAAAATCTTTTGTAACAGTGTAGACCTGTTCATTATATTTTCTCCAGACCACATAATGTAATGTTCCAAGCACCTGGCATGCAGGTGTAGCTTTGTTCCTGAACCATCAATGAAACTAAATTCCTGTTCCAATTTAAAACAATTGTATGTTTTCAGTGGCAAATAAAGGAACCTACTAGTCAGATTTATCGTATGTATGGCACTTCCTGTTTTCAATATCAATACAAGCTGTAATGCTGAAATAGCAGTAGTTCAAATATTCAGGCCCATCCTTCTGCATGCTAATAGAAAGGTTACTGTACGCAGTCTGTCAATTATCTGGTTAGATTGTAGCATCAAGGTTGACATCAGACTTATTTATTTTAACCATTATGAATCTCATGGTTTTGTTGAAGTGCAAACTTAGTCACCAGGCAACTGACATGTTGATATTTCTAAGTGATATATTTTGCCTTTTTTAGACCAATCTGCACTGAATGTCAGGTAATTTTTTTTTTCTTTGATGGCCATGAAATCCGCTAATGCAAATACAAGTTCTGACAGACACCCACAAACGCACACACACAGAGACACATAGCTAGGAAACTTATTAGCTGGCCGATCGGGGCAGTACAGTACAATACTATGAGATATTTAACATGACAGTTGATGATATTTACTGACACAGCTAGTTACATCTTGATGAGCTTCACATTAGGGTCTGCACACATATCATGATTCAACTCATTATTTCAGCATGCACAAACTCATTATTGCTAATTAAAACGATAATTGCATGCATCTAGGACATTAAATTTCTCCAACAGCCATCAGGACGGTGGACTATGCCCCTGGCTCATCCTACAGTGCCGATCGGCGCAGTCTTCACATTTTTAGCCTGAAACTGCCTAGTATATGTATGCATCAAACTCATGTATTGTCAAATGACAGCTTTATCACGTTGCATACACTGCCTCCAGCATGCATGATCATGGTCATATTTAAATTATATTTTCTTTTTTTATGTGTCACATATACAGTGCTGTAGTCATATGGTGATTTAAAAGGGTGCAGTTCTAGCCCATGACTGCAGTATAGTCCCCTCAGTTGAGCTCTTGTACATTTGAAAGTTCATTTTATGTCTAATGTTTTGATGCATGGGTTGTCACTATGCACTGTAGCTGTTTTCTTTACTGCGAAGACTTAGACAACCCAAAAGTTGTTGTTGATGTTGTTGTTTTCTAGTTGCACAACTTTCACAAAAGTGCAAAAGTTCAGACATTTTCTGGATTGTGACTATGTCAAGAAACTAAACCTTTGACTCCCCTGAGCCTTATCATTCTTTCTCTTTCAAGTTAATTTGAGATCAACAGGTTTAATGTGGTGGCAGAGAATTAAAGAAAATTTCAAAGAGATTCATATTCAGCAGTGTGAAATTAAAATGGATATCTTATCTTTCACCAAGGGTTACAGAACCGTCCTGGAGTACTACAAGTTGTACAGCTACCATGAGTGCTGAAATATCATTATCATATTGTGTTTCTTGTGTGATAGAAGATGAGACTGAGTGAGAGAATGATT